GTTGAAACGTAAGCTCAATAAGGGTCCACCATAACAAAAAAAAAGAGAAAATAAGTGATCATTTTGACAAAAATTACTGAGAGATGTTTTAAGCATTTCACTAAAGTAGTCGTGAAATGCCGCGCCCTGTGTGCAATCTCATGCCTTGAGCCACACGCTCGATTATAGACCTAGAGACACATTTCATGACAAAGAGGTTTCGTGTCTGGGATATACGTATGAACTGATTACTAGTCCCGAATATAGGGGCAATCAAACTCAAGTACAAAAAAAAAGAATTCCTTACTTCCTCAAAACCTAAACGGAATAACTGTGGTAAACACTGGTTCTTGACCTAGAGATGACCCAGATGCTGTAGTTATTTTTTATTTCTTTCGTCTGCTTTCTATTTCACTTTTTATTTCTACAATGTAATTCTATATTCTAGCATCACAAGCCCGGAAATGGCACTCTGTTGGAAGTTGATAGTGAAGAAAAACGACGGAAACGTCGTTATAATGTTCACAAAATGCATACGGCTGTTAAACTGAACGAATTGATGAAGGACAAGTCAGCAGATTGCCAATTATTGATTGTCAACTTGCCAGGTCCACCTGATCAAGACTCGGACATATACTGTAAGCAGACAAAAGCAGATAATCTATATCTTGATTCTTGCTTTCCAGATATGGAGTTTATCGAAGCATTGACAGAAGGTTTAAAGCGTGTGCTACTTGTACGAGGTACTGGAGCTGAAGTGGTTACGATTTACTCGTAAACCTTTTTTCGGAAGGTCCAGTTCTTACTTCATTTTAGCGTTCATTGCTCTATTGTCCTATGTTTTCATGTATTATTCTCGCCCAGATTCACTGCGGGTTATTCACACTGTTTCATTTCTAGAACAGCTATCCTAGTTAGAGTTTAGCCCCGGACGAAGGCTGATGGTACCGTTAATAAGCGATCGCAAGCGCGACATTAGAGCACCTGCCACCGTTGGCGCGCGCTTGGCGCACACGTTGAAGTAGTCTCGTTTGTGCGACTCGCTTGCTGCACGTATTTCCTATGGGCATCCGCCTTCGTTTGTGACTAAGCTTTATAGTACTTTTCATAAAGCAATCTCCTCATGGAATAAATCATGACTTTGCATGATCTGCTAAAAACTTTAACTTTCCATTGAAAATTGTTTGAAGTTCTTACTAGATTGTTGAAGCCTGTACTTTATTGCTCTAAAATCACCTTTCTCATCATCAGGCTCATCAGTTTGCCAAATCATAACCAGTTCGATGCCAACGTTCCTTTACCGGTTCGCATCTTCAACTCTAGGTCTCGGTTCTCATTAGCTATATCACCTTATCAATCTTCAGGATATGTCCATATTTCTGACACATTTCAATTGTATTATTCTTAATTACCGATCCCATAGAATTTGTACGGAGAGAAAATTACTGCTCTCAATTGCGTGTAACATAGAGTTTGATTACTGTAGTTTAAACAGGTGGCGTTTCGGTGATTACTTTTGTTTGGTTCATTTTTGTTACTATTCATGAAACCTTGATAATAAGTAGATAAAGCTGTGCTATTAAAAGTGACATACATTAAAACCCCACAAAAAAGTCCTCCCGTCAGACAAGTTCGT